TGGACTGGATGATCTTTCAAGATTCCTTCCAACCCCTACCATGATTCTGTGATGTATCACATCTGGCCGCAAGCATAATGTGCCACCATAGTACTTCATTCATTTAGATGAGGAAAAACCCAAAACAATAGTGATGTTTTCATAAAGCATGTCTTGCAGAAAGATATCCAGTCTTGCAGACAAGAAAAGGAAAATGACCACTTCCATACCTAATTTTTCAACTTTTGTGCCTAATTTTCCATTGTAATTTTTCTGACTTACGGCAGAAATTACATTAGGAAATGTAATGAGCAAATATGTTACCATTAAAATGTCATTTCAGTTAGAAACAAGAAGAGATAATTAGCTTGTGCTTCACACAAATTCTAATTCAAGTCAAATGACAGACTCATTTCAGTGGAAGCAGAACTGTGGTGTTAATCATAACATATACTATCTTCCAAAAATCACCAAAGCAACCAAAACTTTCTTAAGATCCCAATTCCTCCAGTTTCAGTTAGAACAATACAGCAGGGGAGGTACTCCTGTTATCCATTTACACCAGTAGCAACCTACCTCCAGCTGGTGATCACTCCTTACCAACGCCATACGGGCCCTTTGCAATGAACCATGCATTAGCTTGTGCAGTCTTAAAATTAGCTTCCTCAACCCCATTTGCTTCAGTGCTTTATCTACAAACGGTCTGTAAATAGAGGTCAAACAGTGTTGGCTGCAGCTTGCCTCAGCACTGCATTCTGGAATAACCCAAGAGGCGGAGTCATCCTCAGATTCAAGCCTATCAAGCCTCCTTGAAAAATGGTCCTGAAAGTCAAAATTTGGCTTATTAGTAAAATTGTTCTTGATGGCTTGTCTAAGTTCCTCAACATTCTCCTCAGAGATTTGCTCTTCACCATCGCTCTCCTCTGTGCACGTTCCTGAGGATTCCTTTACTTCTGTGTCCCTATCAACTTCTTCATCCTCAGGATCATTGTCCTTAGATGGTCGAGGAGAAGGAATTTCAAACACTGGCCAGCCAATGTCAGAAAGATTTTTGATGCCCAATACAGTTCCCATAATCCTTAGTTTTTGATTTAAGTCTTTTGTAATATTTAACCACAGACAGAGTGCCTGCACTCTGTCTTGGAAGTCCTTTGCAGCATACTTTTCATAGTCCTTTTGAAGAGCCTGCAGAGATGGATAAAGTGCTTCTATATACTCTAGCAGCTCCATTATCCGCTTTACTTGCTCAAATGAGACCCGCTGGCGATGGAGGTGTTCATGGTAATTTGAGTAACCCAAAGCACTGGTTCCATGTGTTGCTCTGCAAACTCCTTCCCCTGAAGTACCATTGAGACTGGCTCCATTTTTAACACAGGAGAAGCTTCCATAGTTCACTTTGAAGGTGAGGATTTCATTGATGATATCAGGGATAGCTTGACGGGCTGCATAGAGATAGAGGTCTTGGTCATTAATGCTCCGGCCAGCATGCCAAGCTTGCAGCTCCAGCCAGATGAGTTCATTGGATCTGTTCAGCCAGACGGAAGAGGTGTTTTCCTGTCCTCTTTGCTCCCTGTCCTTTTTCTTTGAGACTGAGGTAAGTTTTAACAAAAGCCGTAGGGTTTCAAAAAATTTTAAGCGGTCTGCTGGGCAATCAGTCCTAGAAGTCTGACGTGCAGTTCTGGGTATTGGCATGGGCACAGAGACTGGAAGCTTAGCATTGCTACAGCCAAGGCTGAGGTAAGGCTTATTGAGATCAACATCTGGAATTGGTTTTTTTGGCAGAGACCCACCAACTGAGTCTAACATAAATGAGCACTGCACATTTTTCTTGTGATCTCGTTCTGTTGTCCTTAGGGTGTCTCGGATCTTTTTCCCTTGCTTGTAGCTGTGCTCCTCCACATTCTCAATGGTTTTCCCATTGTCTTTATGCACAGATTGAGTTGGCACACTCATCTTTTCTGTAAGAAAAGAAAAAAAAAGAAATAATGTGTCTGCGGCAACAAGAAAAAGCATCATTCAATCCAGCTCCCGATCACATTTCATAGGTTGAGCATAAAACATTGTTCAGTACCAATAAAACAAAGTAGGCATAGGTAGAAGCAAAATGTAGTCTTGGAAATTATCATTAGTACAGCTAAAACAATAGTAGCACCAAAGGAATTTTTTTTTCTCTTCTTGTTTTGCCTCTTTTGGAGAAAGGATCTCAGAGAATTCTCATTATCCCAAGTATGCCACCTACTGAGAACTGAGTATGATCAAAAGGAAAAGAATGGTTTCCAAGTTAATCTTCCATACATTTGTCACGCAGCCTCCCAAACAAAAACTCAAAATGCAACAGAGCATTATTAAGGTTTCCAAGTCAGACAGAATTAAAGAGATTACATTGCACATGCAATTTCATAAAAACTGGAGCATGTACAGATTCTGAAATTTAGCTTGAATGATCCAGTCCTGTCTCTTGAGGGGCTTGATCTTTAGTTCTGGGAACCCCTCTGTAGTCATAATACACTGCCTTAACACTAGGAGCCTTCTTCCCCACTCTCCCAACACACAAACACTTGCCTTCTCCCTTACCAGGTAACAGCAGCCCTCTCCTGCCTAATTGTGCAATCTCCTCTCCTCCTCCTGTTCTTTCCTCAGGAGCAGAAGACCTTATCAGTCTTCTGCACCACTAACAAAAGCACTTCAATCTAGGCTTTGCGGATCAGGACAGGAGGAACTATTTGGTATTCCAACAGTGGTTCTCTTTCTCTCTTAAGCAACTGGGGGCAGGCTGGAGGGAAGCACCTGTATGTAGACTAGCTGCAGTTCAGGGATCAGCATTTGGAACACAACAAGCCACATGGTCCCTGCTTATTCAAGAACATAAAAGACTTTCAGAACAATGGCTGGATAGCTTATCTTCTTTTCACTGTTCACTGTGACTCTACAGATTATCTGCTGCACATGGCTTATTCACCACTCCAGCAGTAGTAGTTTCCTTAGTCCTTGCTACTGTGCTCCTGACTATAACATCCTAATACTAGAAATACTAATAAGCTTATTTACCAAACAGGCCTGCTCAGCAGGACAGTATTCCCTTTCTACATATGGAAAATCATGATAAAGATCCAGCAAGCCAGCATGCCCTTGGGTGCCAAATATAGGAAGAGCTACTGCTCAACATTTCTGAAAACTGAGCACTTCATGTTCAACACTTCCTGACTTCAACTGCAACTTGCATTCTCAAGAATTTGCAAACCACATCCCAGAATCTCTAGCTTGATTCTAGGAAAAACAAGAAATGGACAGAAGATTTTAATTTGTGCTATTTGCCTAGCATCACATAAATTTTCGTGACAGAAAGCTGTTATCATATGATGCACTTCACTGACTTAATTATCAGATGGCCCTTCATTCTTGTTTCATTCACTACACATCTTCCAGCATCTGCAACAAAAATCACAAAATTCCAAACAACCTCTACTCATGTAAGACAGCAGCTCTCTGGAAAAAAACTGGTGCGGTAACGTAGCTCAAAGACCAGCAAATGTATGCACACAAGGGCATCGTACTAAGGTATCAGAGATATGTGAAATGGAAGTGGAGAGGTATGTGGTCAGAGCACCTTACTTTGCTTTTTTCCATTAAAAATCCTGTTTTCAGCTGTTAATGAGCAATAAGGAAGTTAATAAGGATGTGACCCGCCACACTGCCTCCTTCCAATCCCCATATCTAAAAACCATAATTTAACCCTTGCCATAATTGTATAGGATTGGGGCAGGTCACAATGCATGCAATGGCACTTAACTCCAGAAAAAAAAGAAATTATATTCTGAAGGGTACAAGGAAGAAAGAAGAATCACAAAGTCATCACAGAAACCATTTCTTGCAAACAGACTTTATTAGTGCCTCTTACACTACTTTTATTTATGGTATTCATACACCTTTCTTTGAATAGCTACCAAGTACAACAGCAAACAACATAAAAACCTAGCTCAAACACCGTTTCCCACCTGGAAATGGAAACCTGTCAGTGATTCTAAGAAATCTGCTACAGAATTCACTATCATTGATTTTACATTTATCTACTCAAACACTACTCTCAGACAGCAGTACCTCACCCTCACTGGTTACTAACTAGTCAGGTTAATCAGCACCAGACAGAACACAAGACTAAAAGTCTTTCTGAGTATATCAGCTTGACTTCCATGCCGCAGCTGGCACTGCCACAAGGACGTAACAGACCAAAAAGCTAGGAAGACTCATTCTGCATTGTGAGGAAAGGAGGAGGAAGATGAAGAAGGTTGGTAGAGATCAGACACACACATACATACAGAGTCCTCGGACTCTGACATAGATTAGAAATGGATCAACTTTTAACAGCACTTTGATGTTAAAGATTTTGGTGACTGTGAAACAAACAAACAAACAAACAAAAACAAAACCCCAAGCCAAACAAAACCCCACCGACACACAAAAAAACCCAAACCCTGGCACATTTAAAGATCACTTTCTGACCTTACACTCTAGCTACCAGGAGGTCCTCTAAACCCCTTCAGTTTGTATTTTTAACATGTTCTCCTTCAATATTAATCTTCATAATCCCCACCCCTCCAAAACACACTGAAAGAAAGGTAAGTTAAAAATATGAATCATTATTAGAAATCCAAGATGCCCTAATACTTAAATATTCATCATTCTTAACAAAGCCTGGGCACAATAATTTACAAATTGTTTCAAAATCCTCTAATTTTATCAAATAAACAAGTGCTAATGATTGAAATATACCTGACAATTCTGCAATAAATGAGTTACCAATGTTACAACTATATGAGTTTCTACTACTAATTTTATTGCAGTTTTGTAATACAGGCTTCAATTAATTTGTAAAACAAGGTCAGCTATACTAATGAATTTTGAGTTACAATTACCTTTAGTGGTACATGGGGCAGGTAGGTTTCACAACTAATTAACGACAGGTTGGTGAGAAGGGACACATGGTAAGAGTCTGAGATCTTAAATAGCTCGTTAGAAAAAAAAAACAAAAACAAAGCAAAATGAACTTGAGGAACTTGATGGGGGTAAGAAAGTGGGGTGGACAGAGGTTCCCCTTCAAGTATGAAGTTGCAGAAGTTTAATACTAAAAGCAGACAGTGTCACTGGTTTTAACACAGCTGAGGATGCTAACACTTTAATAAATAAGCAAATATCACTGGACTGATATTCCATACCCTCAGAGTCAGAAAAAAAAACCAGCCAGGAGACACACATATGTCTTAGGAGCAACTCTGAAATGCATTTTTCTTACAAAATGTGAATCCATGGGTCTTAGGCTACAGGAGAAACAATTCAGAAATCAGTTTAAACAGATTATTGTGTCAGTTTATTTTTTTATACTAAATGCAAGTTATATGAAACTTGGTGTGACAGAAATTAAACAAACAAACTTTGGAGATGCAAGAAAGCAAGCCCCTAATGCCCAAAATTCTTTCAGTTGTCTAAATAAAGGAAAGATATATTAAGTCCATGTTATATATAAACATCTGAAAAGTTATTTGAAATTTACTTTCTAAACTGATCAGTTACACCAAACTAACCCCTGAATGAATTCTCTTACTGAAGTAAAAACAATTCAGTCTCAATAACAGCACATGCAAAGGCATTCAAGGTCAACTTTGTTGGGTTTTTTTTTTTTTGTTCCTTCCCACAATACAGAATAAATTTTCTGAGTTTGTACATATAGACAAAGTTAAACAAAATGAACAATGAACTTTCCAGAAAAGATATTTTGCACAATACAACACAATCCAATTCATTAAAAAAATAAAAAAAAAGCCAAGCATATTTTTAGATACACTCACAGCAACCAAGAACAGGATATTATTATTCCAGAAGCAAGAACCACTCCCCTCACAAGTAGAAAGAGAGAGACATAGCTCCAAAAATTCAAAATCTATTAGCAGGGATAAACAACAGCTCCCTATTTCTCATAAAGGTACTGATCCTCAACAAGTGCTCAGCACCAAAGGGTTGCTGTGAAATATTATGCATTATAGTCCTTTGGTATCATAATTTCCCTGATTAGAAACTAACCTTTTTTTTTTTTTTTTAAGCACTGAGAGAAACAAGAAAATCACAGAAAGCAAGGAAAGCTATCGCATAACTATCATCAACAGAACTAAATAAGATTAATGTTGCTTTAGAAGAGTTTAATTTAGACAAAAGGTACAACTGAAAGCCAGTAAAAGAAGCTTAATAATTACAACATCTACACAGCTAACTGGAAAGGATAATGTGACTTCTCTTCAGTTTAGTTTAAGGAAGAGGTCTTTGGGTGAATACTCTCTTCATAGTGACATTTTCAGAGGCTGTATGAAATGGAAGGGAACCAAAAGGTTTGGAAGATGTTTGATGTGCCCTTCTTTTACTATGAACTTGCACTCCACAACTCTATGCAACTTAAGAGCAGATTGTATTCTC